CCTTGAAAAACATTCTGCCGTTTTTCTAGTACATTCAGTTTTTTGCAAATTTCTCAGTGTTTAATAAGAATTCATTTTTTTCACTATAATTTCTGTACTCCTAAAACACCGCCAGACGACACCTCCAGAGGAATGACGCCAATTCTGAATCTACTAAACTAATCACCCTGTATATATGAGAAAGTCAGTTTATAATTTTCATATACCCTGTACAGCTGGAGGCTAAATGTATTTTACGTGGTTTCGCCACGACTAGTTATCGGAAACAAAAGCTGAAGTTTCTAAAACAACTGTAAGTTGGAAAACTTTTAATGCATGGTCTACGTAAATCACCCTATATATTTTGGGGTCAGCAATTTTAAATAACAGTAAATTTAATTAAACGAAATCTGTCCTATCAGTTGATCAGTGAAGAATAGACTGCATTGAAAACCAAAACACAGTTTTTATTGCTTGAAAGTTCTTTGAGGGATGTTTGTCTGACTTAAGAACTCAATGGTTGTTAAACGCGTGACGTGTTTGGTCATAGTTACGGTCCGATCCCTTTTAATCCGCGCTTTATTTAGTGACCTAACGGGTAAACTTACAGTTAGGACTTCTATTGATCTAAATGCCCATTTCCTATTATCTGCGAACGTCTGACGTGCCCAAACAATATGTTGGCGTCGGAATGGCAATCAGTAACACCTTAAGTTGATTTATTTGTCCTTTTTTCTCTTTCTCCACTATCAAAAACCACAGGAATTCAGTTCCTACACCACGTACATCAAGATACTCTTGAATGGTTCAAAATGGAAAATGATTTGTGGGGGACATTTTTGTTAGTTTCAGCAGCATTCATTTTTTGAGCCACATTACCAAATTGAGCATATGAATTGAAAGTTGGATTAAATTGAAATTGCAACAGATAAAGAGCTAAATTACTAACTTGAATTTCATTACATGGAAAAGACCCTTAAAACACGCTTTGTTGATTCCATTTAGCTTGTTTCATTCTTAATTATTTCATTGAGATAAACATCGTTGAGAGAAGTGAAGACAAATACCCAGCCTAACGAACAAAGATTTTATAATGAATGCATTTAATGATATCAAACAAGATTGCAAATTCCCCAATGTTCAAATTGTGTACAGTTGATAAATGTTGACATGTTCTTTCTAAATAATACTAACCCAAAATTGTGAGCTATTTCACATTAACAGCTACTTTTAGGACTTGTTCCTTTGTATCTTTCCTTTTTGGAAAATTTTGAAACAATTGTGTCGGGTTGACCAGGCTGCTGGTAAACAAAGGGTACACAAGAGAAACAGCATTATTAATCGAATCGGAGAAGTGCCTTCAATTAATTGGTAAAAGTTCCAAAGCGGAATGGATTTTAAATTTAAATTTTAAATTTCTGTTGCAATGTCTGAGCCATTAACAAATTATAGAGTAGATTCTGTGTGATTTGCAGTACTAAACATATGTATACCTACAGTGAATGTAAATTATCGTTACTTCCAAAGGAACCTTTTGTACGTAGRAAACAGACACAACATTCTTTCTGCTCAAAACAAAGTTAGAGAAGGACACTTTTTTATGTTGATTGATTTTCATTTGATTTTGTWTTGTATGTCATTATGTATAGTSACTAACTTTATTTTATTTTAATTGTAGTGGTMCTACATWTTGAAGAAAAGTTTCGGCGAAATTGACTGCCGGTTAATTCAGTCTAGAATTTATTATATCAATTTTGTGGGAATTTGAATATTGTTTCTTAATATTAATCGTATATTCCCGTGTAAATATTAATAAGGGTTCACTCGTCTTCAATCTTTGTTAAGGGTAGACTCTCGAAAATGACCCCTCAGTGACAGCTATGTAAGACCTTTGCACCWGYTTTAATATGGCGGTTTTAATATTAATGSTATTCAATAAATTACAAAGMGTAAACAAAAAAGAAAGTGKTTAAAAGRAGTTTAACAAGGTTCAACAGTCATTTAGATAACGTYGATCAAAATAGTAGTTTCTTGKAGTTAAATACYCAATTTATGAAATAAMACTCAATTGTAACAAAAGCAACATCTRTTATTACGAAAAATCCAGAGTTACTGGTACCAATAGTTCTTAATTTACGTACCTCTGTTCCAGCATTGGATCCTGTAGCTAATATGAATCTTCCACCTTTAAATCTACMAAGTTTTAATGGMAATGTTAGTCATTGGCTTCMGTTTCGTSATAGTATTCAGTMTCCCAWTCATCGAAGCTCAAATCTCWCCCCTACYCAAAAMTTTTATTACATATTACCAACCCTTAAGAGTGAAGCTGTACAAGCTTWTCAGTCTTTGCAGAKTTGCGACGCAAACTACATTATAGCCTGGAATCTGATTTGCGACCTTTATTAAAATAATAGAATATAAATTAACAATAATGTAAATTCAATTTTAAATATTCATGAATTTCTTTCTAAAAAAAGGACGTAGAAAGGATCTACGTAAGTTATTAGATGAGTTACCAAAGCATATGCTTTCATTAAAGGGGCTGCAGCAACCAGTATATAGTTGGGATTCGATTTGAATTTTTATTGTTTTATCAAAATTAGATTCATTATTGAGACGAGATTGGRGGGTTGYCTCTCAAATTTTACAAATATGCCSACCTATGAGGACTTGGTTGGATTTTAAATAAACGTTGTCAAACTTTAGAAATGATTGGCTCAAATGTAGCTTGTGAAAAAAGTGGAACACCTCATGAACTTAAACCGAAACCTTAATTTTGTCTTGTTACGCTGCAGTCTGGATTAAAGGCTTTTAACTTTTGTAAGGAGACTCATCTCATATATTTTTGTGGTAAGTTTTTAAATCTTACACCTGAATTGAGATTAGGTAAAATTAGAAAACCTCATATCTGCACTAAATGTCTACGTGCTGGGCATGTAAGCAAAGATTGCAAGTGTGAAGATTGTAGAAAATTGAATAAAAACCATAACAGTTCGTTACATTTTTAACTTCAAAATAAACAAAATAAAGTCGAGTCTGGTTTTTCGACTCATGCTAAAAAGTCTTTCATACTTCAAGAGGAAATCCAAAACTTGAAAGTAGGTACAAGTAAAGTTTGGTTTAGTCGATATTCTAAAATGTATGTGTTGCTATCAACCGCCAATGTCATTCTTTATGATAATGAAGGGCTACCTCTCCACTGCTGAGGTCTGTTGGATTCGGCAGTCAGTCCAGTTATATCACTACAAACTTAGTCAATAAACTTGGATGAAATAAAAGAAAAGTAAATATACCCGTAAGTGACCTAACTCAAAACCTAGTCCACAAAAAATTTTCGACTACTTCTAAAATATATTTAACAAATGGCAGTTTCTTTAAAGACTTTCTAGTTCTTAACCCAATTGCGAATTACCTTTCTGTCGTTTCGTTTGACTGGAATTTTTTTTAAATGTCTCCAAATATCAAGCTGGCTTACCCAGAATTTAACAAAGCTAAGCTCATTAACTTATCTCTGATTTTGCGAACTCAGCTCCGAACGAAACTCATTGACTTGCTTTTGGGAAATTGTATATTTTAGTCATAGCTAAAAGTAGCATTTATTTTTATCTACGGCCACTACTGAAAGTAGTATAAAACACCTACCATCTAAGTAAGTTGCATTTTTCGCATTGCAAACCAAACGCACAGTAAATCCAACGCACAGTTCTGTCATCATTAATCACAATATAAACGTTGTATCTTATATTAAAAAATACTTACCCTACTGAAGAGCGGTCTGAAAGTCTGATGGTTTAAAAGCAAAAAGTCCGATGTTTTGTCAGCAAACAACATTAAAATTTCACGGGAAAATGTACCTTACTGAATATTTGTATATGAACATATGACGTTTTAATTTGTAAATCTGGGCTGCTGTCAACTTTTTAATCGTTGTCAAAGCTGACATTTAAAAATATACAATTTTTTCTTTCAGTTTTAGTAAGTAATTGCGGTCGTGGGTAAAGTATGGTACATAATTCGAGTTGTAACGCAATCAAGAGTACGTAATCGTCGCTCGCAGACGCTAGTAGTGGCTTCAACAAGCTGCTCGTGTACGGGGCTGTATTTGAAATAATGCGTTCCATTTTTAGCGTCAAAACCCTTCTACGGGTGTCCTAAGTGGCACGCACGATCACTTTTGTCGATAATCGACCCCAGGTCTCTAAGATCCCGGATTATTGCGTCAAATCTAAGGAAATGATCCTCAAGACTGTCATTAATACCTGAACGCAAACTTAGTAGTTTTCTCCGCAATGATAGCTTTGTGAACGAGCTGGTCCTTACGAAAATGTCTTCTAAAGCGAAATTTCGTTTTTCCTCGCCTGTTGCATTTTCTCCCGGTGGATCCGTAATTACATCATGACATTGTTCTTTAGTATTGTACGTACTTTCCTGACTGTGTTTCAATTCCAAAATTAAAATCAAATCCTGGGTTCTTCAGTCATTTATTTATTGTTCATTTATCAATTTAAAAAGACGTTTCGGTGTTTTCCACCATCATCAGTTTTAATGTGTAGCGTTGTTGCTACTTTACGCCTTGGCATGTATTTGGAGTAATACTTCTTTAGTTAGTAGTGTCGTAATTCGGAACTTCCAGTTGTTGAAATTATTTGTCTCGAGAATAGGAACGGATAGACTGCTAGAGGCTGTCGTCTAGTCCTTCGTTTATATATCAAGCAAAAACACGCAATTACCTTTGCCCACAATTATAGCTCTAGTGTAAACGTTCTGGGCCCATAACCTGTTGAAAGATCTTCTTGTGGGCAAATAATACACACTATCGATTAAGACTATTTAGATATTAGATAGATTAGATTAGATATATTTAGTTTACAAATGCATTTTTGAATAACATCGGTAACTCACATTTTACTTTCATCGGACTCTCGAGTAGGACGCACAAGATGGCATCTACCTCAAGTGTCAACTGTCCATCAAGACAGACTTTGATAAGTGTCTCTCAAGTGCCAAATGGAACCCTAACTATAAATACGGCCATTAAACTTGCACCGTTTTGTTTTCGGTGGACCACCCTGTATATCCGAGAACAAATTATTTTCCAAGGTCATGTCAAATTTCCTTGAATATTTTTACGTTTCGTTAATGCGAAAATTACATCCGCAAAGTTGTTTAAACAAAATTTAGTTGAAATATTTGTTTGCGATGCCTATTATCGTAGAACGGCGACCCATGGAGATTGAGAGCTAATTTGTAAAGGTTGAATTGTAAAGTGTGTTGAATAATCAATTATAGTAATTGTTTTTTCAATAATTTTATTTCATTCTGTTCTAAAGTATGTGTACCGTGATTTTAGCACTAAAGCTTTTCTATCTGATCGATTATTAATTTGGTAAGTAATTTATTGGACCTGGGACTGGTGTTGTTGTAAATATTGTTGTCTTCAGCACAGTTAGAAATTTATCTTCGTGTTTTAGGAAATAAGAAAATGCTGAACACTTGGGACTTTATAAGCAAATTACTTCCAATATCTCAGTACTTGAAAGATTATAATTTAAACAACGCGCTCTGTGATTTGTTAGCTGGAATTACAGTTGGACTGACGCTAATTCCGCAAGTAATTGCCTACGCTTCATTAGCCGGTTTGGAGCCGCAGGTAATAATTTCAACCTATTGAGTTTTGTTAAATCCATTCAAACTTGTTTAGTTCCCAAAAATGCTACAAGCATATTATGAACTCCATTACTGAAATTTACTGTGCTATTGAAATTTGTATTTTTTATTATGGGTCAGATCATTTTTTTATGATTAAAATTATAAAGGTACATAATTTCTTTAAGTTAGAATTTTTGGGTGATACTCATCATAATTATCATATCGTTATACAAAGTGAGTTTTTTTCGATGACTGACTTTGAACGACGAAGGTTAAATGACAAAGAATTGCCGTTTTGAATGCTCTGCTCGAACCTAATTTTCTTTTATCAAAGTTTAACAGGTGTCAAGAGATATTTGAACAACTAATGCATGACAGGTGTTAAATAACTCCTAGTTCAGTTAGTATTAATCTACAGGAAAACATTACATAGACAGGTTTTCAGAAATTCCAAATAAAACGACATAAGAAGTTTTTGCAAATTAACTCTCTTTTTGACATCCTACATAAACTTGTGTTTTTTTTTAATGGAATCTATATTTCATCATGTCATTACTGATTGCAGTATTTTATTACAATATTAATGATATATATTATCATATAGTTAGCTTTTTTCTAAAATGAAGCGAAATGACGCAAATGATTTTTACTTTTTTGCCGTAGTTCATCGAAGTTAATGATGGAAAATAGCATGTCATACAGCATTGTTTTCATAGTTACAAATAATTACAATATGCTTCAATATTTATTTTGAAAACTACCCTAAAATTGGTAATAAATTTAATTTAAATAAGACGGCAACTCATATAAAGTGTTTATTATAAAAATCAAAACATACTAATAATAATTAAAATTCAACCCTGGAAACTATAATTTTTATTACGAAATATCTTCAGAAAGTTTTCTATTATTATCAATACAAACATTGCATCGCTTTAAAACTGAATCAGTTGCTTTTCTAACTGACCAACTATCAATGTTTTCAAATGTTCTAACAACAGTTCCTTTAAGTTCATTTAAATTGCCATCTTTACTATTATAAACAGTGTTTTTTCCTAAAAAAAAAGTCCAAAACAGGAAGATCGGGAGATCGAGGTGGCTGTAAAATAGGACCCTTTGTTCCAATCCAAGCGCTTGGAAATACTTTGTCCACATTATTCCGCACTTGGCCAAAATTATGCGGATGGGCTCCGTTATGTTGGATCATTCCGAAACCGACATCCATTTAAGGAGCCTTCAGAAATAAATGTACCAATAATTTTTGAACCCACCATTCCGCACCAAACGTTAAATCCTAATTTAACTTGTCGTGTCCGTGGTGAGGATTTGTTTGGTTCCAAATATGTCCATTGTGTCGACTAAACATACTACAATTTTTAAATCGAGTTTTATCGGTCCGTAATGGTTTATGGAGGAATTGGATGCCTTGTTGGCATTTGTTTCGGAACCATGTACAAACATTCACACGCAGCTCATCATCCCCTAGATGTACAGTTTTCATACTGTTACTTTATCCGGACGGAATTTGTGTTTTGTTAAAATCTCATCACGGTGCTTTGGAAACTCCTGGATTCCACTGCAATCGCTCTGGTTGAAATCTGTGGATTCTGGGTTACAACGGTCTAGACATTAACGTTTACAGCTCTACTTGTTAATTTATCTGCATTTATTCGCTGTTTGAAACTTCCATAAGTACCCAAATTGTCGTATAGTATTTTAAATGTTTTGCAAGACGGCTGACGACGGTCTTCGAACCTCGATCAACTAAATTGAGAAAGTAAAAATCATTCGCAATCACTTACTTGTCGAAAAAACATATCGATGTGATATATAACTGAAATCGTAATAAAATGCCCTTTTAAATAAAGGCATAATCAAATATAGTTACCATTTAGAAAAATCAAGTTTTTGCCATATATAAAATGTGACATTTGGCTTAATTTTTGAAAATGTCTCCCATGCCATTTTATTTGTCATGCAATTGTCTGCGTTCTAAGTTTTCTATTTAATGTTTTCCTGTCAGATTGATATTGACGAAACTATGAGTCATTTAAACACATCTGCCATAAATGAGTTTTGTTCACATATCTCCTGCCAGCTGCCAAATTTCAGAAAAACAAATGGTTTTGTGTTGAGCATTCAAAACTACAATTATTCGTCTATTTAACCTTCGTTGTATCTGCTGTGGTTTCCAAGTACTAGTTCCCTGTACTAGTGATGAAAAAAACTCACCTTGTATTTGATGTAAGTATATCTGTTTCTATCCACAAGTGGGTTTTTGTGGATTCGGATATTTTAATTTGTGGACTTCAAAAGTATTACTGACGGCATCAGGAATTGTTCATCTAGGAAATATACGTGACGCACATGAATGTCATAAAATTCATTGGGCCCCTTCTATTGAACTATTTAAATTATATGAAGTATGAATCACTAAGCGAAGCTCAGCAAAAATCTGTCGTTAAGAGGGGAACCGTGTTTACAGTGACGACGGAGTTTTACGTAAATCCCTCAGGAGTTCGAAAAGTGAATTTTACCCCTTGAATAGAACTTCTTTTTTATGTTAAGACATTACATGAGTAATAGCTGTAATTTCCTATTTTAACTTCTGTGTCAGTGCAAACTTTTTAGTTTTGTTACTTTTTCAAAACGAATTAGGAAAAGTAAATAGCACATATTTTCCAAACAATAACAAATATGAATTATCTAATCAAAGAGCGACTAAATGGGGCAGAAATAGATGAAGAACTAAGCGGATTTACGGCTGGACGGTCATGTGTCGACAACATATTTGCCATTAGGCAGACTATAGAAAAAAGAGGAGTACTGAGCCAAGAAACGCATCTAACGACCTAGAAAAAACATATGACAGGGTTCCCCTCAAAAAAAACTTTACAAGGTTCTAGACAACGATAACATACATGGGGGGTATATTCCGCCATAAAATAATTGTGCAAGGGATTATAGACGAGAGTCAGGGTTTGTAGGAGGCTATCCAAAGTTTTAAAACAGACAAAAGGCCTTAGGAAGGGTTGTTGCAGGTTGGGCCACTCGTATAATGTGTTTCTGCTATGTTACTGTGGCCTTTTCCCATAACCAATCGCATATTGGCAAATTCGCTGTTGGCTTACATTTTGTGAAAGGAGCTTCAAAATAAGCCACAGTTTGACAAATGCTTGTTATTATTGACAAAGGCTATCTACCTGTAACAATCTGTTAATGGCAAAAAACATCATTGACGCTTTGACTTTTCATCAAAAAATTGTAGAAAAGAAAATTTTTCGTAATTTGACAAAAAGATAGTAATTTTTCTTTTCGAGTGCTGAACTATTTCAATAGGCTATTAATCAAACATGGGACATTTTCAAAAGATTGCCTAATAACAAAGTAGAAATTCCATCTTCAACTGTTAATATCTTCTTGGAATTTTCGGAAAAAATGTTTTTCATATTTTTCTCGTACTCTCTAAGTGGGCCCTTATATACCCTTAAAAAGCATGGAGGTCGCGGGTTCAAATCCCGGCGAAAGCAGTACATTTTTCTGAATCCAAAAATTATTTTTCCGCTACGCCAAGTGAAATCCCTTTGAAAGTTATGAATTATCGGACAACAAACAACTCTTCACTTAAAAGGAATGACAACAATTTTAAATCACTCTGTATACTCGTATATACAGAAACATACGGGAATCTTGCGAAAAGGACCTAATCACTCAATTTAATTGCAACGTAGTGAAAGTTCATTGGAATATATTTAGTTCAACCAAGGATTACACCCTCTGATTGCCAACTAACCTACGGGTACCTTAAAAAATAACATTTTTTGAACATCACAAAATTGATATAAATTGGGACAAAATTGGAAATTTAGTCATGTAGTAACTTCTCCCATGAATGCTGGTTCCAATGGTATGGCCGATAGCAATGTTCAAACTTGAAAAATTATTTTAAAGACACCTTTAGAGAATAATAGAGATGCATTTTTGTCATTACTGTTATATAGAAATATGAAGATTGATAATAATTGTAGGCCAGCAGAATTCTTAATGTCTAGAAAGTTGAGATCAATAATACCATAAATACCCGATGTTAATCCATAAAATTTTAATAGTTACAATAAGTTTCTTGCTAAAAGAAGACAAGTTAATAAAAAGTATTTTGATCAACACACGAAAAAATTAGGACAAGTCAAAAAAAGTCAAGACAAGTGTGTATGTGCAACAAAAGCCTAAAGGAATTTGGGTACCGGGAATGCTTATATTCTTATAGATTAAGAGAGAAGTCGTATGAAATGAAAATGAATAATGGCAATACTATAATTAGAAACGAAAGATTTATTAATCCCAACGAAAGTAAAATAAGCAGACAAGCTAATTATTCATTGCTATTTCAAAAGGAAAGGGATGAGGAAATAAACGTTAAATATTATTTGAAATTAGATAAGGAAAGTGATGTTGATGAACGTTTTATATGAAAATGTAAGTGACATAGGCTCTGAGGAAGCTTTTATAATGGCTGAAAAAGTTAAGTCTTCGGGTTGAATTGTCAAGCCACCTCAGAGGTTGGATTTTTAGAAAGAAGGATGTGAAGGTAGACAATTACCAATACAGTTGCATTGGGCGTTGTTGAAACAAGATGGCAGTATAAAGATATATCTAGAATAATCTGGCGCTCTAATTAATTAATAAATTCATGTTTACCTAATTGAGAACATAAATAATACAGTGGTCATTTTGCGTGTTGTCGAATCTACCACATTCTTTTTCAAAAGCTTTTATTCACATTTTTGCAGTTGCGTTTTCCCACTGAATTTTTCTAGCATAAACTTTTCTGCTACTTTTTCTATATTTGGCTGACCTTTATACTGTTTTCAATTCTCGGCAAGTTGTTCTAGGGTTTTCGTGAGAGCGTCCTTTTGAAGGTTTCCAGAACTATTTGGTGTTATTTCTTCTGGGAATTGGTTTCCGCATAGTAAATTGTCTTGTTCATCCACATATTGGATTTTTGCTTTTTGGTGTCTTCATTTCATGGAGTGTTTTTTATTTTGGTAAAGGATTCCGTAGCTGTAATCAATGGGTGGTTACTTTCTGCTTGTAGTTCATCGAGAACAGCAAATACGTTTTCATCCTGAGTTGCTAAAGAGCTTATAACCTGGTAATTGGAGACAATTACATGCGGAAGCGAGATTCAATGCTTGAAATAGCTGCGCCCCAAGAGATGACATCCTGGACATATTCCTGTACAAAACGCAGGAAGACTGTCCAGGCCCGAAGTACTTCGGGAAATGTCGTCAGATCATTAGCCGATTCTCATGAAAATTGGACCAAATAACGTCAACAGTTCCACTGCGGCTAAAAGGATCACCAACCAGTAAAAAAATGTTGAAAATAAAAAAAAACACTAACTTTTATGTTCAAATTTTTTGTGAATTCCAAATGCTATTATGTAGAAGGTATTGTTTTAAATGACTTGGTTTGCAAGATGCTCAATTCTCCATTCAGGTTAATGTGATAATGTTGGCGCAATTGCAATCCAAGAAAAAAATTTCTAATCAAAATAAATATAATTTGAGACCTTTTAAATTGGCAAACCTAAATGAAGCGATCTTATCTTAATAAACAACTTTGCAGTTTTAAGTCATTTTGCATTCTCTAAGTACTTAATAGCCTTAATTAATTTAAATAAAACAGCTCAAACTTTGCATCATAGATAAACTTTTGATACCGTCTATATATGGAATGACAATTCTAGATCATCCTTCAAAATATGCTAAACATATTGCACTTACGGCATATTTTAAATTAATTTAATTCAAACTTGAGTCTTCTGTATTTTCTAATTCTCAACCGAAATCGCTTTTTAGTACTGAATCGCGATATTACTTCGCTGATTATTTGTACTTATACAAATGTTAATGTTATTATGTTAAGGCTAGTCCCATTGGATTAGGTCCGGTGACCACCGAGGCCATGAGATTAATGAATTTCCTCCTACTCACTTGTCAGAAAACGAACGGTTTAAGTGATATTGACTTGGACTGCTAAAATAAGAGCCACATTTCTTGTCGCAAATTCCAAAGGTGCATCATAAGAGTGTTCGATTAATTTATTCCAATAGAATCTGAGCAAACCTAAAAAAATATATTCCGTAATAGTTGTGGATGTATATTGTTTCATGTTTCGGAAAATGTCGTCATAAAATGATAATAAAATCATAAAGTGCGTACTAAACTAAAAATTGCGTTACAACTCGAATTACGTACCATCCTTTACCTACGACCGAAATAACTTACTAAAACTGAAATAGAAAATTGTGTATTTTTACATATATCAGTTTAGACAACGATTAAAAAGTCGACAGCAGCCCGAGTCCCCAATAAAAAGTCATACGTTCATACACAAATATTCAATAAGGTACATTTTCACGTAAAGTTTTAATGTTGTTTGCGGACAAAATATCGGACTTCTTGCTTTTAAACCATCAGACAACCACTACTGAAAGTAGTATAAAATACACTTCCTACCATCTAAGTAAGTTACATTTTACGCATTGTAAACTAAACGCACGGTAAACTAAACGCTCAGTTCTGTCATCATTCGTCAATATAAACCTTGTATCTTGTATTAAAAAATACTTACCCTACTGAAAAGTCAGTCTGATGGTTTAAAACCAAGAAGTCCGATATTTTGTCCACAAGCAACATTAAAACTCGTCGAGAGAATGTAATCTATTGAATATTGTCTATGAGCGTATGACGTTTTAATTTGTCATTCTGGACTGCTGTCAACGTTTTAATTGTTGTCAAAACTGAAATATTTACAAATATTCAATTTTTTCTTTTAGTTTTAGTAAATTATTAATTATGGTCGTATGTAAAGTATGGTACATAATTCGAGTTGTAACGCATTCATGTACTCATGGAATTACGCAATAGCCGCTTCGCGGCGTCTTGCTCAACTTTTCTATTCGTACGTAAAGTGCTCCTTACAACTCTAATTATGTAATATATTATTACCTACGACCACTACTGAAAGTAGTATAAAACACACTACCTACCATACGAATAAGTTCCATTTTACGCATTGTACGTATGAGATGTAATGAAAAATAAACGACTTATTATGGCTGAACCAATCTTAGCAAATTTCCATCCAGCATTGCACACACACATCTACACAGATGCTAGCGTAAAAAGCATAGGAGCAGTTTTCTAACAACCGCAGAAAGAAAGTTCAGATTTAGAGCCAGTATCACTTTTTCAAGAGAACTAAACGACTTTCGACAGAAGAAGAGAACTATTATCTATTTAGAATGGCCAGATATAAAAGAAGCAGTAACATTTTAGCAATTATGACTCAGGAGTAAAAAATTCACAGTCGTCTCTGATTATAAGGCTTTAGAGAAAATGGACAGAAAATCGAGAGCGGATGAAGAATTAGGCAAAATAATCTTCTTCCTCTCACACTATGATATAGAGATCAAATACCGCCCAGTGAAGTACATAAGAAGATCAATTACAAATAGTAAATACGATCAGGGTTCAAGAGATCATAAGGGACCAGCATAATAACCAATAAATTTAGAAAGATGCAAGCAAACTGGTAAAATTCAAAGACGTTTATTATACAAAGTCCAGAAACAAGACAAAATCTTACTAACAGAAACATACAGTAAATCACTCATCAGAAGAATACATGAAGAATACTGCCATATAGGTATAAAACAAGTCAGCAATAAAATAAGCCCCTTTATACAGCAAAGACCTTACAAAGCAACATAAAATAAATCTGGAAGAATTGTGGACCAGGATAGGGATCTTAGGATCAGCCACAAAACTGGTTGAGATAATTTTCAATAGACACCATTGGAGGATACAGCGGCTGAAGGTCAACAAAAAAATTCCTACATCTCATGGTAGATTACTTCTCAAGATATGCATACATATTGACATTAAAAACACAAAGCACCAAGGATTTTATATAACTATAATTATACCCATGGCCACTTATGCAGACTATTCTTATTAAAAAAGACATAGTATAGTTTCTGTTAGGATCAACATACTTTAACTATAAAAGAAGCCCCAGCAGAAACGAGAATTCAGGCATCAGATGTTTGGTCAGAAGTCATAAGAATTGAGTCTTAGATTTACGGTCTACCGCAACACAGTGCAAATTTCGGGGTTGTCCAACCTCAAGCACACCCATAACCGGTTTCGAGCCTATATGTTCTCGTCAGCTGGGAGCTTACTATAAATAATGCCAGAAATAATCAATCTGACCGTAACATATACAATATAAGCCTATTTGTAACTTTTAATGCGATTGAGCTATAAACTATCTTTGCTTGTACTGACTTTATCGTTGTGCGCAAACTATTTTACATCTTTAAAACTATACAGGCAAATGTTTATTTTACATATTATTTTTTTAGATTGGCCTATATTCAGCATTATGTGGTGGATTTATTTATGCGATTTTTGGCACAATTCCTGAACTCAATATTGCACCCACCGCTCTTCTATCATTGCTCACTTTTCAGTATGTTCATAATGTAACATTTGGAAACACCAGAGCAGCCATTATGCTCACCTTTTTTGCTGGAGTGGTAGAACTAATATGTGGCATTTTGCATTTGGGTAAGTTTCAAAACTTTCATTTGAATCATTTAATGAAACCCATACATTTATTTAACAAATAATTATAGGTAATATAATTAATTTAATTTTGTGTTTCCTTCAGTACGCAGGTTAGAATTTTTAGTTAGTTATCGGCCATAAAAATGTAGAATAATTTAAACTAGAAAATTGATCCATTATCAAATGATTTTGACGATATTTTGAAGTTATTTATCATATCAATATTTCTAAATTAGTTACCTTTTGGACTTACTACTGCTACTTAGCTGCTACTCCTTGCTTTACAAATTACGAGTACACTAATATGCGACAGAACTGTAGGTTTATTATATTGATTTGCCACTTAACATGATTACAACCAAGGAAAACGACGGGGGTGGGGAAAAACCACACATGTCCCATTTTTCTCAATATTGAACTTATCAGGCCAACTAATATACCAAAACTTTATGATCGGAATATGAAAAACCTGGACAAACAACCATGCTTGTTCCCAATGATTACTAGGGCAAGATTTGTCTTACTGGGGAAAAACAATTTGTGTGCGAGCGGAATGGTTAAGGTTGGAAAGAAGTATGGATGGTCGGTATTTAACGTAATCGCTAAATTAACACCCGTTTTTCAGGCACACGCCTGTAAGTGCCAGTTATACTTTGCCAATTCAACCGGTTGTTTTTAGAACTCATAAATTCTAAAAAGTGGTTTGCACCAGCGCAGAACCGATGTGACACCGTCGATCCATGTATCCAGCTCCATAAACATTGCCAATTTAAACGGTTTTTGGAACCGTCTCAAAAAACCGAGAAAGTGGTTTGGACCAACACAAAACCGATGCGATACTGTCGAGCAATTTATCCAGTTGCAGCAATTTCAGTAACCATCTGTCAACGGAAAATATTGTACTATGGATGGCCGGGTATCAAACTCTTTCTTCAGCTTCCAACTTTTATTCAACTCGGTATCACTTTAAATACGGAACAGGAACAAACTAACTTCTAAATTAACGTCAACTTCACAAACAATA